AATTATCATGGTGCGGTAAAGTAGCATCAACATATCAAATACAGCAGTGTAGTAGAAGACAACCTCTCGAAACCGACTGAGAAAAAAAGGAGAGTTTTGTGATCCACTACACACAGTTTGCGTATATATATGAGGATTTACTTCCCGAATTAAGTTTAAAACAGCACCCCTAGGGTTGTCTGCACCAACTGCTGTCACAACAATTACCTCACCACTCCTAAGCTTCAATTCATCAATGCTTATTCTCTCCCAATTGTTTGTTGTTATGGAATTGTATTCAAATGGTACACCGAAACGCTCACAATATTTTGCCAAGTGACAACCAGTCTTCTCCACCATTCGTGATGGACGAAAACCAAGTTGGGGAAACTCAATCCCTATGATTCGAAGTTTTGGAGGGCCACCAGGTCTTTGTGAAAGATCCCGAATAAGTGTTGGCCACTGGATACCATAATTAATGCCAAATTTTATAATGTGCAGCGATTCACCTTTTGGTACTACTTCGTAAATCATTCCATTTCAAAAGAATATTGATACCCTCATAAATGGCCAAGATGTCATGTAGGACTTTAGCATCTCAGCAATTATGTTGTTATCATGAGATAAAGCCATATACAGTTGTGTCCCAGTTCCAGCAAGCCGTGCCTCAAGACCATCAGCAAATGCATGAGCCATCCTTTGGTTCGCATCGCCGGTAGGCGAAGAGTGCTGTCTGATCTTCTTTAATTGATCTTCTGCAGCCTAAAATCAGCAGCAGCAACAGATTGTGCGCAGCTGATTAAAAGAGACTCCAGATCCAAAGTTTTACAACTAGCTCTTCTTTTCTTTATATGGCTTTTGCAACCACTTCGCTTTTCCTGTTGTGTGCTAACTCCAAATGGACAATAATTATCATTTGCCCCACTGATTTTGGTGGTTTGCCTTCCGGGTTTAAAAAAAAACCTCCTCCTGATAGATTGCAGAGTGCTTGCTTCTGTTTTCTTCTTCTAAACCACTTTCGTCTAGATGGTAATGCTTCTTTCCTCTACTCAGATCAGCTGAAATGTCGTTCTCTGTTTTGGTAACAACATCTCCATTCAATTCCTCGCTAAGAGAAACTAAGTAATTATCGAAATCGATTACCAACTCTTTATGAGCATACATTTTATACTTTATGAAAATAATTTTAATGTTGAATCATTTGTTTTGAAAGTAAATTTTGTTTGGATTGATAGAGTATATAATAACATTGAAACATTCATAATCATTTGTCAGATCAGTATAATTATTTTGTTTATTATTTTTATTTGTATAATTTTTGCAGAGCTCTTTTGCACAGGACTTCAAATTCTGTGAGTCCGTCCCTGATGGAGGAGAGATACGGGAGATGAGGGCCAAGGTCAGATAATATTTTTTCATCAAGTCTTATAGCTTTTTTATTTATACTCCAACTTTCACAAAAAGTATATCAAAATTAGGAAAGTTTGATTTATGTACATCTTTTGTACATCTTTATCCTCTTGGTCGCCTACCCGAACCACAGATGCACTGCCGACACTCTCTCCACCAGCGCAGCTTCTCACCTCACCCGACCAGCCCACTTCGCCGCTGTCTTTCTCCCATACGGCCACCCCAGTCCCCTCACTGACACCTTCCTCACTGTCCAGCCCGACAGTGGCGTCCCCACTCCCCGTCCGTAGCCTCTCCTCCCCTTTCCCTTTCGCCCAGTCCTAGCCCGTCCCCTTCCTCTATGACACCACCTACCTCCCCACATTCCCCTGCTAGGATGGCTCATATTATTCACCGTATGAGCACGAGAGCTAAAGACAACATTTTTATACCTAAAACAATTTTTACATTGAATACTTTAGCTCTCCCGAATGATCCCACATGTTTTCCTCAGGTAAATAATATTTTAGTTTGGCTAATAGCCAGGGGCGGATCGTAGTAGAGACCCAGGGGCTAGGGGGGGCGGTCGCCCCCCCCCCCCCCCCAACAGAATTTTTTTTAGTGTGTTTTATATACAAAAAATAATTTCGCTCCTTTGAAAAATATTTTTTCCCTCAAAACATATTTTGAACCCCCCCCCCCCCCCAAGATGAATTTCCTGGGTCCGCCCCTGCTGGCAGCCATGGAAGAAGAATTTATCCTCTCATTGTTAATAAGACTTAAGATTTAGTACCTTGTGACAAGACTAAAAATGTGGTAGGTTGTAAATGATTTTACAAGACTAAGTATCAATCTGATGGATCCATAGAGCGCGATAAGGCTCGTTTGGTTGCTCAGGGTTTTAACCAACAAGCTGAGGTAGATTTTTCTGAGACTTTTAGTCTTGTGGTCAAACATACTACTGTTCATCTTATTTTTTTCAATTGTTATTTCTTAGGGTTGGACAATTTGTCAGTTGGACATCAAAAATGCTTTGCTCCATAATCAACTCACCAAAGAGGTTTATATGTGTCACCCCCTAGATTTGTCCATCCCCAGTTTCCCACTCATATATGTCATCTTCGCAAAGCACTCTATGGGTTGAAACAACCACTTTTAGCGAGTTTTTACTATCCCATGGTTTTTCCCAGACCAGGTCTGACTTGTCCATGTTTATTTTTCGGTCTCGCTCACAAACTCTCTAGATTTTATTATATGTAGATGATGATGATGATGATGATATTCTCGGTAGTCCTCCCTCTCTGGTCCGTCAGTTATTTTGAAATGGATCTCAAATTTTTTGTTCCGAACCGGACCGTACCAGTTCCAAACAATGCCATAACTGGTTCTCATAAAATGAGAACCGGTACCGGACCGAAATGGATCGAAGTATGATTTAATTATTCAAATGTACATTTACACCATTACTTTGATTAGTGCCTTCACACTTTCACAGTCTTTGCTAGTTCACTGGAAGTTTGGAACCGGACCAGAGTATAGTTTAATTATTTAAATTTGTACCACTATAGGTTATCTAAAATTACTCCCTTGTCCCACAGTTGAAGTCACAGTTTGACTTTCGCGATCTCGTAGACAGACGTAACTCCAACCTTACTTTTTGTGCTTATTACAGAATTCAGCGCGTGAAAGCAAAAGTTACGTGTTTAGTGAAAAAGTTGGCTGATAAGTTTGAATGGATTGCATTTTCTTTTAAATTACGGAGTACCATTTAGCATGGCCTATTTATCCTTAGTCATATCCTAACATTATTGACATGAGTTTCTCTCTCGAACTATCGCGCGCGAGTCATTGACCATTTCTGCTTAGATACGTACTAGAGATTATCAAACACCATTCAAAAAATCATTAACTGCAGAAATAGAGATTAACAACCACATTGGAAATAAACGTAGTTATGAAGTTATATGCTTATTATCTGCTATAAGCAGATTTAGAATGTTGAAGTAATAATTCTGACAAGTCAAAACAATTATATTTAGACAAAATTATAATACAGCACACAACTCTATTTACATCACCCAATACATCAACAACAACTAAGTCTTAGTCCTAAAAGAGGTGAGGTTTCATTTAAAAGTTGTGAGAGTTGGGAGGGGATGGATGATTATAAAATATATTAAAAAACGATAAAAACACGACTGGATTGGTGGATAAATCGGATATGGCCCGTAACAGGAAATATAAGTCACGGGCCTCACTGACTTTTTAGGACCGCCTACCAATACACTATATTTTCCTTTAGTTCTCAACGAGCTAGCTTAAAGACCATTAGTGAAGAGTACTTCCAAACAATGTTCTAAAAGGCACTAGGCGCTAGTCAGGCGCCAGCCCAGCGCCCAGCGCCTAGGCGAGGACTAGTCAGAGACAAAGAAATGACATTTTTATCTATATTTTTTCATAAATATGACAAGTAATATTGTATTTTTGTGTGCATAAAATACATATATACATATACATTAACAAACATGAATGATGCAATTATCACATTTAATCATACATAATATATGATAACTAATCACTTAACTTCATTATGTTATAAATATAAATAATGATGAAATTTAGGCATATATAGAAACATATATAGTTTTATCTTAATTTACAACTTCATTTCTTTATATCCATGACTAAAGCTAAAGTACGTATATCGCTTAGAAAAGTAAAATTAAAAAAGTAAAGTAATGTTAGGTGAATCTAGACGGTCTAGCGGCCGATTAGGCGCTCTAGGCGAGCAACTAGGTGTCATAGGTGCCCGACTAATTCATCTAAGACGGCAAACCAATTAGTTGGAGCGCCTAGACGAAAATTGGGGCGCCCTGCCACCGCCTAGCGCCTAGGCGGGGACTAGTCGGACGCCTGAAACGATTTTTAGAACAAGGCTTCCAAATTAGCTACGTAGTACTTTTTATTTGAAAGAAGTAAGAACTAATTGAACTATTTCTTCATTCTACAATGCCTAAAACTTGAATATCAATCTAATCGCCCTATCACTACTTTCAATGCCTATCACAATGCCTAAAACTTGAACTAACCCATTTTGTTATGATTGTCATTTTTTTTTCAAAAAGTAAATGCATATTTTAATTGGTATTAAGGATACTTTTAATTTGAATGAACTTTTTTATCTAGTTTAGTCAAATATGTTCTGCTTAAGTGTAGTTTATTTTGATAGATGCCTAGTGTATGTATTTTAATATTACCCAAGTATGATCTGTCTAAGTTTTAGATTGAAACTAGTCCAATTAAAACATCCCAACCCACATAACCATAGAAAACCAGAAATCATATTCACAAACGCGCACCGAAACACCTTTACATAGTCAATTCATTCATTACGGGTGTCCACCAGTTCCGTTTCATCGGTTTTGGGTTAGTCGGTTCAGTTTTTAATTGGTTCAGTTTTTAGTCGGTCAATTTTACCAATTGTTATAACAGGTGAAATCGAGAATCAGACCACAAACTATAAACGGTAAACTGAACTGCCAATGGATTAAGCGGTTTCAGTTCTTTCTCTTCGGTTTTGGTCAGTTTGGTTTTTGCAAGTTCGGTTTCAGACGGTTTTTGTTCGATCATATGAAATGTGTTACAATGCAAAAGATTAGTATGAACTGCCATAATTCCAAACAAAGTGCACAGATGAAATTTCTTTACAATGTCTGAAGGTGTTTTAATTTAACTACTAAGAACATAGTTTATGTAATCTAACAAGTAACAACTCTCATGACATGTGTAAACGAAGAAGTTTAATGACTTTCTTCTTCTAATGTTTTTGCTAAAAAATTGACTTTCTTCTCATGCAATGTTCATCCATAATGAAGTAAACCCCATCCTATATGATTCACACTCCGGAGTTTCAAGAGTGTTCAAAAAGTATACTTTTCGATGTGGGTCACTTACACAACGTCTATGATGAGCAACAACCACCCTTTTGATTGAGGGGTTGTCCTCGAATTTGCACGGTTGGTGGCCTGGCATTGCTCCCTGCAGGTTGGCTTGCCATCCTGCAAAAGAAACAGTGTCATCTGAAACGTGGAAAATCACATAATGAATCAGACCCCATATGGTAATTGCCGAAAATGGCTAACTGGGTAACGGTGATTAAGAAGTGTCTTACTTTGCTTCTCTTGTGCCAAAATGGCAAAATACAAGTATTTCAGAAATGTCTAATGACCATATAGGATGTTTTCTTTTGGACTGAAATTTGCTGGTCTGGTCTGTTCTGGTCTGGTCTGATCTGGTATGGTCTGATCTGGATGTCTGGTAAACGTCTGGTCTCTGTGTATTTTATAACTACGGAAGTCTGGTCTGGTCCGGTCTGGTCTGGTCTGGGACTGAACACAGTCCAAAAGAAAACATCCATAGTATTTACATGTGTGTAGGGGAGAGTTCAAATAAAAAGAGGTGTGACACTATTACATGTTTGTGTAGTTCTGTTGCACTTTTTCGCGGTGGCAAAAAAACTTCAGTTTATTAATGTAATTGCCACCACATTTTTATCAAACTTAGTGCACTTTTTGCTCATTTTGAACCATTAGATGTGGAAATCAATGCACAAGATTTATTCACACTTTGCATGGTAAGACCTCTTTCTATTTGAACTCTCTCTCACACACACAGATATATAGGGATGAGATCACATACAAACTAGTCCTCACATGTTAACCTACAAACTGTCACAAACTGTGCATCTTTATATTAATTGTATTGCATATTGAAGTTCAAAGTGTTGCATATTATTGACTTTGTAGGTTAGTATTTTAAGCATGTTTTGTATTTGATCTCTTATATATATATATGTATATATATATATATATATATATATATGGACACACACATTGTAGAAAATCAGTTGCAAAAGTTGAGGAGAATGACACTTTCTTTAGCTTCATATATCCATTTTAAAATAACGCATGCACCAAATGACCAACATGAATCATAGTTATCAAGACTTCAGAAATTAATGACTTAAATACCTAGTGCTTGCCTTAGTTAAATAAAATAAAATAAAATAGATAGAATTCTTCAAAAAGAAAATTAAACAATGTAACAAAGAGAGGTGCTACTATTTGCAAAGTGCAAACAAAAAATCGTATATAGATAGTCGCAGCTAGAGGGAATGTGAGCTCTGCCCTAGTCGCCAACTTCAATATAACTTCATTTTTTTGTCGATTCATAATATTTTCATGACAAAAAAATATATTATGCTTGTGTGAAATATTTCACATTTTTCCAGGTGTTATGGCCCACCACTGGAAAGTTCAACTAACTGGAGATCAATAGCTCTGTGTAATAGGGTATACAATCTTTTTGCGGTAGTTTTAGCTAATCGGTTGAAAGGATTGCTAAACAAAGCGGCTTCATGTACACGCTCATTTACACGTCATGTTTTATCTGTGCACATACAATTTGTTTTTTCATTTTTTAAGGTGAACTGTTTGTGATACACAAAAAGAATTTGTTTGTGGCACAGAGAAAAAAATGTTTGTGGCACAGAAAGTTCACCTTAAAAAGGAAAACAATTGTTTGTAGACGAATAAAACGGGGTTTGTAAATGACATGTACAGCTTTTGGTGTGTACAGAAGGTCTTTTTGATTGCTAAGTAGGCTAGTGTAAGAAAATCAGAGCGTTTTTGTGCTAGGAAGGAGTATTATTGATAATGTTAAGGGGGCTTTTGAGAGGCAACGTTTTCTAAAAAAGAGTGTTATTGTGAGGGTGATATTGCTTTAAAACTTGATATCATTAAAGCATACGATCGTATTGATTGGCTTTTTCCGAGACACATGATGTGGCAAATGGATTTTGACGCAAAGTCAGTGAATTTGGTAGTTGAATATGTTTCTAAATTTACTTATTTTATCTAATTTGGTGAGGAAGGTTTGGGAATGATGCTATCAACAAGACGTTAGAGAGAGGGAGACCCCAGGGGCGGAACTAGCTAAGGGCTTGGAGGGGCTTGAGCCCCTGCAGTTTTTTTTTTATATTTACTATGTGTATTAAATATAAAATTGTAAGTTGTAAATATTTATAAAATACTACATCTATGCATTATACATCTATGCTTTACTTGTGTCTTTTTTAAGCTCTTAATTAATTTAAGGGGGATTTGATTTTGCACTCCACTTTTTGGGTGAAATTGGACTTTGCACCCCATTTTGTAAAAGCATTGACTAAGCACCCCATTATATAACACTTTGTGTATAAAAATTCCTAAATGGGCTGCAAACTCAACGGACTATTAAGTGAAATGGAGAGCAAATTCAAAGTTTCTTGAAAATGTGGTGCAAATTTCAATATCATCCAAAAAGTTGGATGTAAAGTCAAATTCTTCCTTAATTTAAAATGCATTTAAATAGCTGCATTCAAATTTTGGTGACGTACCATTTAGCTCGCTAGTGAATGAGTAAGAATCACAATTTTGCTATGACAGCTTTCTCACCAAATCGACACGTCATATTTAATTTCTTCCCTTTTGGCGTCATAAAAAATCTCATTTGATTTTGTATGTAATTAAAATTGTGATTTCTCATTTTATTTTCAAGATATTATTTTCTACAAGAAAATACTCCCTCCGTCCCCTTTTAAATGTTTTGGAGGTGGGTGACACGAGTTTTAAGAAAAGTAGGTTTGTGTGGTTGATATTAATTGATAAAGTAAGAATAAAGTAAGAATAAAGTAAAAATGATTTTGAGCCACACAAACTTTACCAAATAAGGTATGAGACAATTAAATAGGGACATCCCAATATGGTAAAACGAGACATTTGAAAGGGGACGGAGGGAGTATATGTGTAGTATATTCTAGATGGTGAACACAACATCTTCTTGAGGCCTCCAGTTTCCCGTTAAGTGTCCCTCCAAGGTTCCCGAGCTGGTTCCGCCACTGGAGACCCACCATCACCATATTTATTTATTCTTGTGGCGGACGGATTAAACTCAATGATTAGGAGTTGTTAAGCACATGGAAAACTCCATTGGGTGGCAGTGGCGGAAGAAGCGCATACGATTTCTCACTTGTTTTTTGCACATATCAGTTTCCTTTTTCAGGTTTACTATGAAGAAATGCAATTATGTGAAGGGGCTATTAAGTCAGTATGAGAAGCTTTCGGACTAGACTATAAACTATAGCAAATTCAATGTTATGTGCAGCGCTAATGTTAATGAGGAGATCAAGCAAGAAAGTAGTGTTCGACAAGGGGTTGGCCGAGAGGATAATTGATCTGGATACCTAGGTTTGCCAACTTTGGTGGGCTGTGGGAAGAAAGATTTTTTGGATTATTTGTGGGAGAGAATCATATAGAGACTATGAGTCCGTTTGGCAACCCAGTTTTTTGACTTATCAAGTTATCAGGCTTATCAGCCAGCTTTTTCACCAAACACGCAACTTTTGCTTTCGCGCGCTGAATTGTGTAATAAGCAGAAAAAGTAAGGTTGGAGTTACTTTTCTGGCTGTATTGGCTGAAGTTACTGTAGATGACTATTTTAGCTATTTTTACATATAATTTTTTCTTTATGTTATTAATAAAATATATTTTTAAAATATTTTTTTATTAAATCAGCAGAATCAGCCAATGCAGCCACTTCAGCCAAAACTTCATACATTTCAGCAGAATCAGCCAAAACAGTCAATTTTTGTGCTACCAAACGGGCTCTATATAGTTGGAATGATAATTTTCTATTCAAAAAAAGTCGAGAGGTTTTATTAAAATCCATGATTCAGGCGATGACGACATATGCAATGAATGTGTTTTCACTTCCTAAAGATTTGTCTAATGGCAATGCAAAATTAATTATAGACATTCGTAAAGAGGGAGGGGTTGGGTCAACAAGGTTTGCGGTGGAAGGCTTGGGAGGTATGACTATGCCAAAGGAGAAATGAGGTTTGGGTTATAGGAAGTTACGAGAGCTTAATTTGGCTATGTTGGGAAAGCAAATGTGGAAGCTGTTACAAATGCCTTGTTCTTTAGTGGGGAGGGTTTTTAAGCGAGATATTTTTCTAATGTGAAGTTTGAGGAAGCAAAGATATGTAATAAGTAATAACCCATCTTTTATTTGGTGTAGTATGTTATAGGCCGAGGAGATGGTAGTAGCATACTAGCACCAAGCAGGTGGGGAGTGGCGTTAGTATCCAGATGTGGGCTGATGCTTGGCTACCAAGATCAGGTTCTGAAGAGTTCTCTTCCAAACGTCCTCTACGAATTAAGGATATGAATAGGGCGGCATTGTTAGATGAGAATGGGAGTAGCGGGAATGTGAAAAGGATTTAGGTTGTCTTTAGTGCAGAGGATAGGGAAAAGATCTTAAGTATCCATATAACTCAGAGAAGAATCAAGGATGTGTTTTACTGGGCAGGAAATGTTTCGGGGAATTATCCGGTTAAGAGTTGTTATAGACTTCAAGTTTGAGAGTTTTAGGCCACGAGTGAGTCGGTTGGACTCACATGTGGTCTGTGTTATACCTCAAAAAAAAAGTATTTTCTGGCTATTAATGGCAGGTTGCATCCCTACGGATTTTGTGAATTTTTGCCGTTTTTGGCCCCCGACTATTATGTCAATGACGCTTTTGGTACTCGACTTCTAATTTTTCCATTTTTAGTCCTCTACTATTGTGCTAGAGACACTTTTAGTCCCCGACTTTAAGATTTCTCACATTTAGTCCTTGAGTATTGTCAAATTGACACTTTTAGTCATCTCACTATGATTTCGACACAATAAATGGAGGACTAAAAATGTCACTGTTGTAACAGTTGAAGGACCAAAAATGTCACTTTTATGAAAGTTGAAGGACTAAATATGGAAATTTTCAAAGATGAGTACCAAAAGTGTCTCTAGCGCAATAGACAAGGACTAAAAATGGAAAAAAATCAAAGTCGAGTACCAAAAGTGTCAATGACATAATAGTCGGAGGACTAAAAGTGAAAAAAACTCGGATTTTGTTACTCATTTATTGTCTAGGGCACTCATTTCTTTGTCAAATTGTGTGGAATATGCTAGTTTCCTTCCGGATTTTATTACTCCGTATAAGCAAACTGGCAAACATTATGATTAATTAATACAACGGGGTGATTTACCTTGAAAAAAGGAGTTATGGCTCACCCCAAATTCAAACTTTGAGGAGCTTTGACTACGCATATGCACATATATAAACATATAACATCATCAATATACCTCTTCTTTATACTCTCAAAAAAAAAAAATATACCTCTTCTTTATATCAGATGACATTGCCGTAAAAGCTTGTTCAACGTTAATAGCATTCTTTGCACTGGTCTCCAAGAAAGGAATACCAATTTCATCAGCAAAATCCTTTAAGATTCAACCACAAATCATTTATTGTCAATATAACATCCATTGCAATGTATAACACGATCCACCAAAAAGTTAAAAGTAAATGAATAACCTTAGCAACATCATAAGACACTGCTCGATTAGCATCCATGTCACACTTGTTTCCAACCAAAAGCTTGTTCACGTTTTCACTTGCATAGCGATCGATTTCATTTAACCATTGCTTAACATTCGTGAAACTTTCTTTATCAGTAATGTCATACACTATCTGCAATACATTACCATAAATATGCTAATGAAGAGTTATTAAATAATGAAAAGATAGCTATTTAAATTTTAAAACCAAGTTGATGTAGGAATACTATAATGCCATGTGCTCCTCGATAGTAACTACTTGTGATTGTCCGGAAACGTTCTTGTCCAGCAGTGTCCCACTGCCAATTAAATTGAAAGAATAATTACTTTGTCACAAAAAATGCCGACATTCAGATTATAAAGATTGAAAAACAATATAAACATGCAGTATATATATATACTAGTATATCATAACTAATTAAAAAAGCAATGACAAGATTTCTCGTACAATCTGAAGTTTGATTGTCTTCCCATCTTGCTCCATAGTGCGAATTTTCTACAAAGCATAAATTTAATCTAGAATAGGCGACTCATCCAAAATCACTACAAATTGAGCCATATATGTTCTTACAAAGTCAACACCAATTGTGCTAATGTAGCTGTCCAAATATGAATCGTCCTGCAAAAATGAAGACGAAAAAAGTAGTGAATATTTAGGAGATGAAACACACATCGGCAATCAAAGGTATTTAAAAGAGTATTCATATAAAATCACAAACATTATTACTGTATTAACTACTCCCTCCGTCACTTTTATTTAGCCAAACACTGTTTTCTAGTCAAAGTTGTTCCACTTTGACCGATTATATATTTATATACGGTAATATTGATAATATAAAAATTATATGAAAATGTTCTTTGTTACAAATAATATCATAAAAGTATAAATTTATTAAATTTCACATAAATATATTAGTTAAAATAATGGATCAAAGTTTATCACCTTTGACTTAAAAAGTCAAAATTGACTAAATAAAAAGGGACGAAGGCAGTATAATTTTTAATTAATGGGGGCTGGGGAAAGAATTTCAAGACATGGTTTTATTTTTAATAAAGAAAATTCCATTGATTACTTCATCCTTCCTTTAAAGAATCAATGACCCCATTAAAGGTATTTAAAAGAATATTCATATAAAATCACAAACATTATTACTGTATTAACTACTCCCTCCGTTCCTTTTATTTAGCCAAACACGGTTTTTCACGTCAAAGTTGTTCAACTTTGACCGATTATATATTTATACACTGTAATATTGATAATATAAAAATTATATGAAAATGTTCTTTGTTAAAAATATTATCATAAAAGTATAAATTTATTAAATTTCACATAAATATATTAATTAAAATAATGGATCAAAGTTTATCACCTTTGACTTGAAAAGTCAAAGTTGGCTAAATAAAAAGGGACGAAAGTAGTATAATTTGTAATTAATGGGGGCTGAGGAAAAATTTCAAGACATGGTTTTATTTTTAATAAAGAAAATTCCATCGATTACTTCATCCTTCCTTTAAAGAATCAATGACCACATTCAAGATTCATCCATTACTATATCAGTAACAAAGTACATAAATGAAGAGACATGTATATACTTACAGCAAATCTGAGAAGAAGGCATGACTTCCCAACACCCGAATCTCCTATGAGCAGAAGTTTGAACAAGTAGTCACTACAAATTATAATAGTTTGTGGTGAGCATTGAGCTATAACCTAGCAATATAAATAGGATTGAACTTTCATTCGTGTCTAATTATGACATGTGCTTAACCAACAACATGTTGGAAAAACAAAAAGAACTTTTCTTGCATCAGGTAAAAATGCATGTGTGTGTACGAGTTTGTACTCTTTTTCAACCAATGACTAACACTCATCAAGTGTATTCTTATAATTATCCGAAATTCAAACATGCTCCATATACAATATGTTAAGACTCGGGGTTCCATCCTAAAAGTTCAACCTGATAAGAGTAGTACTCCATGTGTTAATATAGCACTTTGTTCATCCACACTTTTCCGGTGTGACACATTTTACACCCCTCCTCACGATCAGACATTTGTTCTGGATCGTGCAATCATTCATTTTTTTTCATTGGTCCGTTTTTTTTATCCGGCCCTAATTGTCATTTTTTATAATCGTGTCATCATTTTTATAAGGGACCCCACACCATGGATCGATTTGGCTCTGGAATTTTTTACACTAAAAATATAGACCGTTTTAAAATTTGGGCTGAGGCGTGACCAGGGCTGGACACCTCCTAGCTCCTCCCCTAGCCCATGTGTTAATATAACACTTTGTTCATCCAAATTTTTCCGGTGTGGGACATTTAACACAATATTAGTCATTGATTTTAAACGAAAGAAATTCTCATGTATAAGGATGTTCCTATGGTATGTTTGTGTGAGTGGGTGTGATTGTGTGAGTGCACGCATCAAAAGCAGACATATATGATAATATTAACGTCAAACGTCCAGACACAATACTCGACGGAAGGATCCAAATAACTATGTAAAAATGTTAGTAACTTGATATATTTGACTTTAATACAAATTGATGTCAAATCAATAAATATGAAACTCAACATTAGATAAATTGTTACACCAACGCTCTAATTTATGATATTGCAAAAGAACGGATATAGATATTACTATTCGGGGTTCATCGTGAAGTCGATTAATCCAACAGAGAAACACGCCTGAATGATAAACTTCCGCCTTGGAGAAACCGCCTCGTGCTTTCAATGTCGGTGGAGAGAAAATCAAATGCATAAATTGAACAGAGGAATTGGTGGTTAGAGATTCCAACACAACTTTGGTACTATAATAAAATGCACCGACGACCGACAGGTGATCGGCTCTTTGGGTGAAAATGACTCCTTATTTGTTGGCAAAGTATTTGGACCACCCAATTTTCGGACTTTGTTAGGCATGTATCCAATGATGGATTATGCTTGGATGTGAGAATTTCCCTACTTTATATCTGGATCACAACTGTCCTATTTTATTTGTGTGTGTGGCGATGATTAAAATTGTATTATTAAAACTCACAACTAAGTTCACGGTTTGATTCTCATATTCTTCAAAATCGATAATTGACCATTACTACATAAAAAAATATGCTTATAAAATGTACAATTTTTAATTATAATAATATACTATCGTATATCAAAATAAAGCATTACAAATTATTTTGATATTGCAAAGTAATATGGAGTACGTTTTTTATTAATTAGTAATTATGGTTAACAAATTTTAAATTATAATTCAGACTACGAGCTAAATGGGAAATTGTGGGAGTACTAATGAGAGCTGAAGAGCATGTAGCGTTAATTAACAGCTAGTAATGGTGCACATATAACATCAGAGTTGTTATCAATCACTCTAATATTTTGTTAAAGTACAAAATTGTCCCCTGCACAAACGAAATTGGGACGCATCCCATGTGCTCAAACCGGCGACACAGAAGCATACATACACAATTTATAGATCCTCCAGCAGGTTTGTAAAATGGAAGGGATGGAGTGAGTGTTATTGGGCTGATGAACGATCAAGTTGTAAGTGTGACTTGTTTATCCAAAGAAAGTGGAGAAGCAGCAAGATGGGATGGAGAAAGCCAAAAGGCTAGCAGCAGAGGAAGATGGGATGGGGAGTGATAGAAGAAGTGAAGAACGGTAACGGGATGGGAAGGAATGAAGAGCCATGACTGAAAAAGTGGAAGGAAGAAGATGACAGGGCCAGGAGGCATGAATAAGGGGAGGGCAGTTTGGGTTTAATTAAAATATTCAACCTAATAACTATCCCTAAAGTTTAAATACTTACAAAAATACCAACAAGCTATAAAAACTTAAAAAGCACCCTCCACCCAACTTTGAACTTCTAGCTTAAAAGTACTTAACTTAATCTGAAGTGTGGGTTTGCAAATTCCCTCTGGTTTTTTTCACACAAAAAAAGTTGTAAAGTACTCCCTCCGTCCCTAAATGTTGTTCCAATTGCGGATTACGAAGGTTGACCGACGCTAAAGTTAAATGATCCCTGTGAAAATTCGGATTATTTTTAGTAAATAAAATTTACATATTCAGAAACTACATTAAACCCGCTACAAAGCCTACAAAAAATAATTCAACTTTTATAAAATTTTGATATAAAAAGTAAGAGTTTAAGAGTGATTTAAATTAACTCTCGATAAGCGAAATGGAACTTCTTTTAGGGACGGAGGGGAGTACTTTTTTAAAGTGTTTGCAAACACTGCTTTAGCTTGTTTGAGCAATTTTAGCTGATTTGACTTGTTGAGCAATTAAAATTAGTGTTTGGTAAAACTTTTTGAAACAGATTATTCAATTCTCAAAAGCCATTTTCTTTTGTTTTGCTTTTCAATTCTCCTTCTTTCTCGTGTAATCTAACTTCCAACGTTTTTATGTAGTATACAAATCAAAGTGTCAAACCTTTAAAATCTCTCTACATCATAGATCGAAAACATACTTGCAGGCATCTCCCTTTAGAGTTGGTATACTGCCGCCTTTGGGTGCCGCTAACTTCTACAACCGTTTGAGGAGGGATAAAAATAAGATCGTGCATTCGGCGGTGAAGGAAGTGTCGCAGGCTCGCATCAAGCAAAATATGAAGCAGGTGGGGCGCGAAATACTTCAGGTTTGGTGGAATGTTTGTATCGGTGCTGGATCAGGCAGCCAGCTTGGTCGGCCACTCAAATGGCGGTGGAGTTAGTATTCACTCCTATTGCAAGAGTTCGTCCTCCTCCGGGGCCTCCTTCGTACCAGGAAGAGTTTTGTGGAAGAGTTTTATTTTTTTTGTACTTGTTTTGATTTTAGTCCGATTAGGTTTGCTTTGCATGTTTGGATTTTTGGAATTCTTTTGATAGACAGAGTTTCGGTTACGTTCTGGTCATTTTAGGCCTAAATTTGCCTGTTTCAGGTTCAGCGAGTCAGGCTGCTTTGTATGAAGTGGATGACTCTAAGTCTACTCTTAAGGTTCATGATTGGATCTGTAAATTCTGTCTAAAGATTGTATTGTATTTGTTCTCGATTTTAATATAACGGCCGCTCTTTTATGTTAAAAAGAAACTTCCAACATTTTAATTGTATTTATTGTTTTCTTTTTCTTATATTCTTTGTTTTGTCTAGTTGTTTTTCTAATTCAATTTTCTTTTCTTTGCTAGGTTAATTTATACATGAAGCAAAGCTAAGTTGTATTATTTTTTTTAGGTTGAAGTTAAGGTATATTATCATCATTTTACTTTAAATTATTTTCAATATTTTAAAATTACACTCTCCCTGTCTTTTTAAGATTATCTCTTTTTACCTTTTCGGAAAATTCCACTAAAATTGTCACATAACAAATTTGGTAAAGTTTATGTGACTCTAGACCATTCTTACTTTATCAATTCAATATCAACCACATTAACTCACTTTTGTTAATATCTATGTCACCCCCTTATGTACCAATATTAGTGAGACGGGGGTAGTAATAAATATGAATTATTAATAAATAAAATAAACTATTATAAATATGCTCTTATATCAAATTTTATTAAGAAACAACTATTTACAAGCAACTTATTTTACCAAACATTTTTTGACAACCAACTAACACATAATTATATCAAATTTTATTAAGAAACAACTATTTACAAGCTCTTTTATGTCAACTCTTTTTCAAAGAGTTATGATGTCTTTACTTGGACTGAAATTTGCTGGTCTGATCTGATTTATTTAAGCTTGGTCTGGTAAATGTCTGGACTTTGTGTATTTTATAACTATGGAAGTCTGACCTGGTCTAGTCTGAACTGATTTGGTTTGGTGTGTTTGAGTCTGATCTGGTTTGACATGCTCTAGGATAGAAAACAGTCCAAGTAAAAACTTTCTTAATAGAACCAGCTAACCATTAAAAGCTAACAGCCAAGTACCAAATGATCCATGTTCCATTTAAAGTGATCGGTCCGGGTGCCCGCCTGCCCGGGTGCAGCCCTATTTACTCTTTTTTTTACTGAGTGACGGGATAAATATGTTTCCGGGTCGTCGTCGTCTAATACAACCCTCATTCTCTTTTTTTTTTTGAATAAAATGTAAAATATATACTCCCTCCGTCCCAGGGAGAAGTTCCCGGGTTGACTTTCACACATATTAAGGAAATAAAGTTACTGAGGGGTAAATTTTATTGTTTGGCACTGTTTCGACACTGTTTGACACTGTTTCGACACTGTTTTGCACTGTTTGACACTGTTTTGATGTAGAATAACTTTCCATTTAGGGAAATGGGAACTTCTTGTTGGGACTGCCAAAAAAGGAAATTGGGAACTTCTCCCTGGGACGGAGGTAGTATATCCAGAAAATAGCAATACAATGCATCAAAATGTAGGGGATGGGAGAGAGATTTTAGAATGGTCCAATGAAAAAAATCAAACAATCCAAACTAGCATTGGACATGCCCCGACTTAGTAATCAACAAAATCCAATTAATCAATATGGACTGGCCCAAGAGTGCCAGCCAATTAATGAGTCAAACCTCTCGTCAGGTGCAGGCCGCTGAAGCAATGAAGGCCCATAGGCCAGCTAGCAAACCAACAAAAACCACCTAGAACCCAGGAGTTTCAAAACGGGCCCAGGGTCCAAGCAAATTAAGGCCCTTAGCCTGGCCCGTAAGTAACCAGCAGTCCAACTGCATCCTTGGTAACAGAGCATCCCAGCAACACTCAATTCCCAGTCTTCAGTGATCAGTCCACAACGCGTCAAATTCTCAACTTCAGCGACTGCTTACTGGATCGGCAGATGGCGGGGCTGGACGAGAACGACAACTTCTACCTGAGATACTACGTCGGTCACAAAGGCAAGTTCGGGCACGAGTTCCTGGAGTTTGAATTCCGGCCCGACGGCAAGCTTCGTTACGCCAACAACTCAAACTACAAGAACGATACCATGATCCGTAAGGAGGTCTTCCTCACACCCGCCGTCCTTAAAGAATGCCGCCGAATCGTCTCCGAAAGCGAGGTATTCGTCCACCCACCCAAACACACTCTCACTCTCACTCTGTAGCTCAAATTCAATTTCTAGGGTTAACTCTTGTTTTTCGGGTTTATACTCTTTTGTGTCCTCATAGCTTCAATACCCTAATTGAACAACCGAATCATGAACAGGGTCAAGTTCGACCCAGATTGTTTGCTTCATGTTGACGAATCTATGAAGATCCGTGTTATATTAATGATTTTAGGAAATACTGGCTCTTTAATTTCAGTAGCAAAAAATAGTCATTTTTTTTGTGGAATTGAAAGTGTGGAATGTAAAATTTCAGTAGGAAATACTGACTCAATCACTTTACTTTGATTTGAATCTACATGGAATGTGATCATGTGGAATTGAACCTGTTCTTCAAAGTGAGTTCTTGGCTGTCTGATCTCTCTTAGTAGAGAGTGATTTTGAACTGTTTCTGTTTATGCATTGTATGTTCCTGATGTACTTTGCATGCTTGTATAAAATGACTAGTCCCATGGCTGTATTTTTTATAGATTATGAAAGAAGATGACAGCAACTGGCCTGAACCTGACCGCGTGGGGAGGCAGGAGCTTGAAATTGTGCTGGAGAATGAGCACATATGTTTTACCACCTCTAAGATTGGCTCTCTAATGGACGTGCAGACCAGTAAAGATCCAGAAGGCCTTCGCATATTTTATTATCTTGTTCAGGTAAATACTAGGGGTTTAGGTTCAGTTTGGATGGAGGGTTTTAGAGCGGAAGAATTTGTAGGGATCTTTAAATTCTTATTAAATCTTAAACAGATGTCAGAATACAGACTAAGCCCCTCAAAGCCGTACCCTTCAAACCCCTCCAAGTCCCTCCATCAAAACAGACCCTCAGAAATTTTGCATGTTACTTAAATAATGATGGTACAACCGTACAACTGCATGTACAGGCAATGCTCACCAATTTTCATATGATGGATGTTTTTAACAGCTTCAATATATTCCTCAATACATTGTAATTATGTTTTGCTGGCTTGTTCTACGTTTTGAAAAGATATGATTTTCCATTCTCTATGCTTTCATGGTTTTTTATTTTATTTTTATACTTTGATGCTTTGTCAAATCAACAATATGTAACATGGTTTTAATACAAACTTTAAAAGATTGATTTTCGCCTAAAGGAGTATAAAAGAATCCCTCATGCTATTTATCAGGTCTGGTGATATATTATTGTATTCCAGGTTATGATAAAATGCATATATTTAACTATCATACGGAACAATCACTTACACATTAAGACCTGGTGTTTGAATATCAATTTTGCATATTGAACATTAATTTTTAAGGTAATGTTACAATAACATTCTTAACATGTTATAAAGATAGTCACCTAGATTTTTTTAGCTTCATCTCAGTCAAATATATACTCCGTATAAAAATAATTCTCAATCGTATTGGTTTTTATAGTGTCATTTTAATATTAGGAAGTTTTCACTTTTATTGATTTCACATGACTAGATCATACTAGCAGTCTTGAACAGACTAGATATAACATACTTAAATTGACCAAACTAAGGGGGTGTTTGGAACTGATTCTGCTTCTTTTATAAAGCAGAAGCAGAAACAGAATCAGTTTTCAGAAGCGGGTACCTACCAGCTTCTAAAAAACTGATTCTAAGAGTAAATTGGAGCACCAGAAGTGTTCTGGAATTTCAGCCCAACACTCCAGCTTCTGCTTCTGCTCCCTGAAGGAGCAGAATCAGTTTTGAGAATCAGATCCAAACACCCCCTAAGATTAAAATAAACCTAATAGCAGACCTTACTGGAGCAGTTCAGATCATAATAGGCTTAAACATATCAGATCAGACCAGCTCTCGAAATTCTAGGATAATTGGAAACATCATATAGACACATGCTTTAATTCATGTCTTTTTAACCTTATGGTATTCTATTTGTTGCAGGATCTGAAGTGCTATGTGTTCTCTCTAATCTCCCTCCACTTCAAAATCAAACCCATATGATTTGATTCTGTTAATGCTCTGGAAGCTGGACTTTTGTTAAGTTTTTCACTCTCAGTTCAACTGGAGTTGGAAGAAGCTAAAAAAGGGCCTGTAATCTTGCAGTTTGAGTGGAATTGTTCAAGGAACCTAATTTGTTGCTCCGTTTTTAATAGCACCTCTAGCCTGTGGTTTTGATTTCTACCAACTTATGTTTAGCCAATCCATTGATTGCTCAATGAATGCTATAGTTTCTTTGTTGGGGGTTTAATTGAAATTGCTTTTAGTGCTTTTGTTTTCAATCAGACGGAATACAAATATACAATCATCAAATATTTGGTATTGATATTCAAACTGTATGAAGATCTTATAAAGTGCAAATTATCATCCCCAAAACTTTACATTTTTTAAATGATGAGATCATGTGTTCGGGATTTATTTAGAAAAGTAGAATTAAAATAAACAGCGCATTTCTTTTAGAGAGTAATAGCCTAATAGGGGTGGACCCAGGCCGGTTCCGGTTCGGGCTTGGGCCTGGCCGGGCTTTTGTTTGGGAAGTAGGGAACCGGAACCGGTGCGGGTAGCTGGCGGTTCCGGGCCGGTTTCCGGTTCATTTTTTTTTAATTTCTTTTGATTTTCTAAATAACCCCCCACCCCCTTCACCCCGCAACACCTAGCCCAACCCGGTAGAAAGTAAAAAAAATTGGAAAAAAAAAAAAAATTGTCCCGAACCGGTTGGGCCGGTTCGCCGTTTAGGGGGCCTGAGCCCGCACTGGAATTAGACCGGTTCCGGTTGGCCTGAACCGTCCCCAAGACCGGGTGGTGGGCCGGGCCCAAACAATATCAATCCGGGCCGGTTCCGGGTCGGTCTTGACCCGAGTCCACCCCTAGAGAGTATGAAGAAAACATTAAACTCAAGTCAAACTTGATCATTATTAATGACAAGTCATCAGTCGATCATAAACGCCCACCAAGGTCGTTTGAAGAGCTGCAACCATGACCGCTTCCTTTGCCACCTCCTTCATCTCCGCTACCATATCTACCATTTTCACCTTCACCTGATCCGCTACCAGAACCGAACCCGTTACCCGAGCCGGATCCAAAGCCAAACCCCCAGCCTTCTCCAACACCGCTTGGAGATCTTCCTGAACCCGGGCCGTAACCCCACCCTCCTCTTGGGCTTGAGCCCCATGCCCAATTATAGTCCCCACTCCCCACTAGGCCTGTGGGCTGAGCCAAATCCACCACTCGGCGTAGCCCCTGATGCGCCGCCTGCGGACGATGGCGATTCCGAGAAACTCATCTTTCGTCCGCCGGCGTTGGAAGCCATAAAGAGGCTGGAGATTAAGGCAAATAGAACCAAAGCAAATTGTGAATAAGGTCGTTGCATATCTACTTCACTAGATCGCACTCATAAAACTGCCAAATATTTTGGTTTATTTGTAGTGCTATTTATTGCTAGCTCCATATATCGAGTCATTCGAACTTCTAATGTTTATATGGCGTTATTTTGGATTTCATTTCACCATTAATTTCTATTTAAAATTCACTTGTTATAAGAGGTAATATCTGATCATGGACCATTATTGGCGGACGGTCCATATAGTTGGGATTATACAAAAATAATCAATAGTTGGGATTATTGTCAGCGGACCGGCAATAGTTGGGATTATTATTTTCAATTTTTCCTTAGAAATAATCACTATATTACTGAAATGGAATCCACATTTGACTGGCTGGTGCACAAACCGTGGCTTTTAAGGCTGTGGAAGAATGGTTTAGTGTATAATTATCGATTTGTTTACCTTATCATAGTTTTCCTCCATCCCATTTACAATGAAGTTCTCAGTGCATGACTTGGACTTGCATTTCCAATTGTTTATCTTATCATATTCTTCCTCCATTTCATTTGATCTTCTCCTGAGTGCGCATTCATTATGTCATAACTTAAAACATCTTAGATTCAATTTGGTGATATGTAATTCACGATGTTTTACAAATTTTCTGATTTCATTTAGTCTAGTGTAGTTTATTCAAACTTGATCTCATCTAAACTAGTCAAACGTTTTGTGACTGTGTGTAGTGTGTTCAATTTTTTTTATTCAGATAACGTGCCGTGTAACTAACTATACATTTTGTGAGTTGCACAACAAATAAATTTGTTTGATTAGTTTAGATACAATCATCTCCACACAAATAATTATTGTCTATCAACTTAGGTAATAAATAGAGTTAACAAAATGGAATAGAGTCCTATAAAGTTTTGTTACCTATATCCTCATTCGTATCATAATCGCATAGGATGAAATAGGAGTCCTATAGTCTTGGACTCGGGTCCGGGTCGGGACCGGCCCGGGTTACCACCGGGTCCGGGCTGGGTCGGGTCCGGGTCAGACCGGGTCCTTGTTTTTTTTCTTTTCTTATTAAACCCCAACCCCCGACCCCCCAACCCCCCCCCCAAAACACCAAGCCCAAGTCAAGAAAAAGCCCAAAACAATGAAAAAACCAAAAAAAAAAAAAAATATGGGTCACCATTTGTTCAGCCCGAGCCCGCCCCCGCTATTACCTCCAGTACGTGTCAAAGACTGGTACCGGGCCCGAAGCACCGGGCCGGGCCGGTTCACGGGTCGGGTTGCCCGAACCGAGTCTAAGACTAGAGTCCTATCCTCTTTTTACTTGCCAAAACATGAACAAGAAAATCATCTCCTGACTCCTGAATGTGTACAGAATTGCTCACCAAAAACACTTTCACAATAAAAAAGCATCAACATACTGGTTTATTTGAGAAAATGTCCCTCGAAAAACTGATACATAGTATGTGGGTGTGCACAATCAGTGGCTTTTTCTACATTAACGGCTTTGTTATTTAAATTGTGACGATTACCGAAAGAGGCAACTATTCTCTTAAGAGTTGTACCTCATTTTGGGATACCCATTTTTACCCCACACTTGTGACTTTTGTGTTCCAAATGAGGCCAAATTGCCCCGCTTAAATATTGTCCCATTTGGACTACACAATAGGGGCAAAAATGAGGTAACCAAAATGGGGTACATATACTACTTTTGTTCTTTTAAGAGGTAATTTGAGTTTGCATTCCATTTTTAAGAGGGGCAAAAATGAGGTACTTTTTTTTTTTTTTTGGTAATCAAAAATGAGGTACTTTCAATACCCATTTTAATAATCTTTCGTTTTGCAACCCAACCTTTCTATTACTCCGCATGACTGTAGATTTCAACCCGTTAAACCGAAAATTGATGTTCAAAAGAGAGCCTTTGAGTTAAATACAGAGGCTATCAATGCTCTTCTTCCTCTTCAGGAGAGCTAAAGCTGCAAGATTTCGTCTTTCTGCCGCCATTCACGTCCTCACACCACCACCAGCATTCCACCTCTCCACCGCCTCTTCACTCCATCCAAACCCTTCTAAACCCCTGTCCAAACCGGAGCTCAAAGCACTCGTTCTCTCCCACTGCCACCACGGTAAGTTCCACAACCTCCTCCGGGAAGTCATAGCTTCTCCCCCCGTCCTTCTCTCTGCTAGCAGCAGCCTCAAATCCAATGGTGAACCACTCGACCTCGAATCCATTTCGGCCCAATTCTTCTCTGTCGAAGAACTCTCATCCCATATCTCGGAAAACCGGCTTGAAGTCGAGTCATGCTGCTGTGAAATTCCCCCTTCGTCCCGGAGAGGTAAACCGCTGGTTCTTCCCAATTTGAAGCTCAAAGTTGTTATGGAAGCGATTAGGATGGTTCTAGAAGTTGTATATGATGATCGCTTCGTAACCTTTTCCTATGGCGGCCGGGTCAATATGGGCCGGCACACTGCAATTCGGTACCTGAAGAACTCCGTAGAAAACCCTAGTTGGTGGTTTACAGTATCGTTCAATCATGAAAAATTCGGGATTAATCATGTTGCTAAGCTGTGTTTAATCATAGAAGAGAAAATCAAAGATGATCCCTTGATTGATTTTCTAAAGAGGCTGTGTAAATGTGAGGCTATTAGTATTCATTTGGGTGGTTGTTATTTAGGCAGAGGGTTTCCTCAAGAATGCAGGTTGACCTCAATCTTAATCAACATTTACTTCAACTCTTTTGACAAGAATATTCAAGAAATGAGGCTTAAAGCAAATACTGAAAATCCAAAAATTGGGATCTTTTCAGACTCTTCTGGTAGTGCATTCTACAAACCCCCAAAGGTACATGCAGTTAGGTATTTGGATGAGATTCTAGTGATCACATCTGGAACTAAGCTGATGACTATGGAATTGAAAGGTCAGGTTGTCAAGATTTTAGAGAAGAATTTAGGGTTGAGTGTTAACAAGGCAGGAACGGTTATCCATAGTGCTGTTTCTGAAAAGATTGATTTTTTAGGTATGGAGCTTCAAGCGGTCACACCATCCGTCTTACATCCGCCGATGTCAGAGAAGGCTATGAGGGCAAGGAAAAAGTATTTGAGACAGAAAGAAGTTAGATTGTTAGAACTGAAGAACGCAAGAGAGACTAATAGGAAGAAATTAGGAATGAAGATATTGAATCATTGCTTCAAGAAATTAAAACATTGTAATGATGGGTTTAAATTTGACTTCCATATCGAGAATGAAGTGAGGCAATTTTTCAAAATGTGTTCTGATGATGTTGTGAAACAGTTTTTAGAATCTGTTGATGAGAGGTGGGAATGGTACCGCCAGCTGTCAGCTGGTGATTTTCTTTCATTGGAAAGGATAAGAGAAAAATTACCAGGAGAGCTTATTCATGCTTATGATGATTTCCAAGAACAAGTTGACAAGTTCTTGAATCCAATGCAAGCCAAAAAGAAAATAGAAGATTCAGAAAGAAGACTGGAGGAAGAGGAGGAAAGAAGGTATTCAGAAAGGACAGTTCAAGATTTAACAAAGCTGTGTATAAAAGTCGAAGCGCCAATAGAAACGGTAAGGAAAGCAGTCCAAATGTCTGGGATTACGAATCACATGGGCCGCCCTAGGCCCATTAGCCCACTTGTAGTCCTTGAAGATGCTGATATTATCAAATGGTACGCCGGTGTAGGGAGAAGATGGCTTGACTTCTTTTGCTGTTGTCACAACTTCAAGAATGTCAAAACCGTTGTGACTTACCACCTGAGATTCTCTTGCATTTTAACATTAGCAGAGAAGCATGAATCCACAAAGCGTGAAACCATCAGACATTTCTCTAAAGATCTGAAAGTTTTGAATGTGGATGGGACTGAAGATTTTCACTTTCCTACAGAAAGGGAAGTGAAGATGATGGGAGACAATGCTTTGTCAGACCCAAAGCAGGTGGACGGGGCCCTCACAATGGCTCTCATAAGGTTGGCATCGGATGAGCCCTCATATTTATGTGCTGCTCATTTTTGTGGCAGGAATGATACCACTGTG